AAAATTTTGGGGGGGGGGGGGGGGGGGAGAGGTAGGGAGAGAGAAGATATTTAAGATTTCTTAACTTTACTTAAAACTAATTATTTGTAATGTTTAAATTAATAAGTAATTGAAAATTAAAATTACTTATCTTATTTTATAAATATATTGCGTTTTTCGATAATATTCTAGATTCGGGAAGCAGCGCAGGCTTTATTGCTTGCTGAGTTAGGTAGAATGGGCTCAAAAGGTCGCAAAGCGCTTGTCGATAACTGGTCACAGTATTTGCCAATGTACAGTACTCAGGAACCAATCGCACCGCAACCGCAGAGCCAAACTTCACCGGCAGCTGGGAGTCCGGTGCCACCATCTGAGTCGCAACAAGAGGAAGAAGATGAAGAAGAGGAGTTAGCCGAAGGTATGTCCATTAGTGAAAGTTTTAATTTAAATAAATAATAAAGAAGATAGATTGTATGTATGTGCGTGCACACAAAGAATAAATGATTTAAAGTAATTAATTTTTATATAATTTTTCTTGAATAGAGCTAAGTATAGCTAGAAAACCATCGAGTGTGGCGGAATTGAAACAAAAACAAACCACGGCGGTGGTATTGCTTGGCGTGATAGGGGCCGAATTTGGTCAGGATGTAACTACGACAAACCAAAGAAGAGATAACGAGCAAAGACGAAAGAGCTCGATCGTAGAAGGCTTTGGCATAGGAAATAATAATCTCGCCAGACATACCAGCATGGCGCTCACTCATTTATTGCACGCGCCTCATTCTCCGAAGTTACCATTGCACACGGCGTTACGAAGAGCCGCGATTGATCTTATTGGCAGAGGATTCACTGTATGGGAACCTTACCTCGATATATCTAAGGTGAAAAGTGTTCTGAAAAAATATTTTATTATAATATCTTAATCTTTATAAATTTACATTTTATTTTGTGTTGTTGTTTAAATAAATTTTGCTAAGATAAAGATAATATTACTATTTTAAGTAGATTAAATCGAATGAATCTGGTCTAGAGTATTGGTCTGGAATATTGGTTTAGTTTTCATTGAAATTTTCATAATTCAGTCCCACTTTGATGCAGATTAAATTTAATATGCTGTTACTGGAAGTAAAAACCTTATGAATCAAAGTAGGAATGAAACGAACGCAATCAAACGTCGATTTAAATTTGATTCTATACCGCATTAGATGCTTCGGTAGAAACTAGACTACTAACAATGATGTAAAAGTACTAAATGCATAATAAAATCTCGCTTTATTTTCATTATCAAATATGAATGTGTGCATTAAAATGCACATGTTTTTAGCAAGAGACACTACTGTGATTGTCTATTATTTTTAATGATAGAATTATTAACCTTATTTGTAGGTTCTGTTAGGCCTATTGGAAATGTGCTGTGATGCGGACAAGTTAGTACCGAGTCTGACATACGGCCTTCCTCTCACGCCGCAAGCTGACACTTGTCGCACAGCACGTCATGCTTTAACACTAATTGCTACCGCCAGACCAGCCGCTTTTATCACTACAATGGCTCGCGAAGTAGCCAGATTTAACACTCTCCAACAGAATGCCCAGACCTTAAACGTTAATCTGGGTGCAAGTGTCTTGACCAGGGCAAAGCCAGAAATTCTCAGGATTGTCGAACAACTAATTGACAAGATGCAGAGTGAGATGAGCGATCTTCTTGTAGAGGTATTAATCTAATTTTACTTTAAGAACAAAGCTAATTATTAGGAAAATAAAATTTAGTCTGTACGACGATTATATGTATTTACAAAATAACAATAATATATCTATATTTATTAATTTGTATTTAATTAATTATGTTTACAGGTAATGGACATTATTTTACATTGCCTTGATCCAGGTCATCTCAAAATGAAGCCTTTGAACGAAGTATTTCCAGCAGTGTGTAGATTTAATCAGGTAAATATTCCCTTCCCTCTCACAATTAAGAGTTTTTTATGAATAAAATTGTTACTATTTGTAATTCAGTTTTATAAGTTGTAATTTCATGAGAAAGGTTTTATCGTTTATTAAAAATTTGTCAAGCTATAAGCCTTTTATTATTTTTATTATTTTGAATATTTGGATCTATATTTCACGTCATATAAAACCGCTTTATTTTTATAAATTTTTCACATTAACAGGTCAGTCATTGTCCAGCAACACGCAGGATAGCAGTTGGTGGTCGCGGAGGTCAACTAGCATTATACGAATTACGAGGTAATGTCAAATGTCAAACTGTCTCGGCTCACTCGGCACCAGTCACTGCATTAGCGTTTTCCCCAGAAGGGAAATTTCTCGTCAGTTATTCTTGTTCTGAGAATAAACTATGTTTCTGGCAGGTAAGTGTGAACATAAGAAATTTTAATAAGATGTGTTTTGCTGGTTTATCTTGAAAATGCTGCTTAATCAGTTATTTTATGATTTTCCAGCAAACCAGTAGCGGTATGTTCGGCCTGGGCAATTCGCAGACTCGCTGCGTCAAGTCCTATAGTACTGCGCCCATCAACGATGTGGCCCGATTGAATCCTATGCGCTTGGCACGGCTGATTTGGATCAACAATCGCACGGTTACCTTAATGCTCGCCGACGGTTCAGAAACGCGCTTCAATGTTTGAACGTTACGCGAGATCAATCTGGAGTTACCAACGGCTTTGGCAAGCGAAAGCAGCTTGCTCGTCATTTAGGGTCGACTGCATCGATTGAGTTTGGTTTATGCAATGTTCTCTTTGGTAGAGTTAGTAGAGTTTTTACAAAAATAATACTAAAGGTAATTAATAATAGCACCAACACTATTTTCATTTTCAAATTAAAAAATACTATTTTATTGATAGATTTTTTCGGAAGATTAAACATTTTAATAAATAGAAAATAAGCGATATGTCACACATATATATGACTTAAAAAGTATACTAATTTAAAGAGAACACTACATATATAAATCAGGCTTCAGCGCTAACTATTTAAAATTAAATTTTCCTTCTTGTGTTTTTAACATTGAGATAAAAATATAATTTTAGGAGTTGGCTAATCGAAGTTGTGGGCGCGATTTTAGTCGAAATAATTTATGTGCAAACCAGGAGTGTCGTCGTCGATTTCGGCGCACTTACTGGTACTTAATTGATAATATTAGTATTGAATAATTGAATTTCGCGGTATTTCAATATATGTACATCATCAGTATGTATGGCTGTCCGGATCCAATTCGTCGAGGACATTCTCCTTTCTGTTAGATAAAAATCAAGGCTAAGCAATCTTACACTTGGCGCTAAATATGCGATGAAAGTATGGATCATCAGCAATAGTTTCCTATTTAAATTACGCGAAGTTAGAGAGATTATGTAATGCAAATTTGTTCCTGTTTACCTTGATTTTTGAGTTGGCGTAGCTATGAATAATAACTCGCTATTGTTTTGTAAAATATAAGTAAAGTTATTTTTGAAGTTTCTTCTCTCTATTTTGAAGTATTTCCTTAGGTACGTTTTCATTCATTTGATTTGAATGATTGAAAATTTAAAAACCATTTCTATTGAAAACAAAATATGAGGAACAACACATTGAATTCCCTAGAAAATTTAGTTATTTAATAGGGAATTTTAATGGAGGATTAATGATATATTTTTTATTTGTAATTTATTTGTCAAATAATCTTATCGTATACGTCGCAAGTAGTTAATGGAGTTATAAAATTTTTTTTTTAAATATCGAAGACTTAAAAATTTTTGGTCCAATAATCAGTTGGCACTGGTGACAAATTGGACAAAATAATCGGGGAGATTATTGACTATTGGCTCCCGCACATAGAACACAGCAACACTTGTCGTGCAGCGGAAATTAGTGTGGTAGCCAATAACTTTTTCATAAAAGCGAAAGAATTGATTACCGCTTGAGGGTATCATGAAATTTTTTTCCGGTAGGGGGCAGGTTTTCAATCAATCCAGGGATGTATCATATACCCATCAGAATGACAAAAAAAAAAGAATTTTGCTATTGACTTAAAAAAATGTCACTGCACCAATTTTGTTACAATTTACAACAATTTTTAACATTATTGAATTCTATTTGAATATTTTTACAACTTTTAATGTTCCTCATACCTTACTTTGAAGAGGAAAAATCTTGCGTTTTGTACATCATGTAACTTTTAACTTATTTTTTAAAAACTTTTTTTAAAGAAGGATACAGTTACTACTACAAGAAATGTGTATCAATTATATTCTGTTTTTCATGACAAAAACTTTACAAAAATTTCGCCACGTGGCAATGTTGCCGCATCTTGTGTAAATACGAGAATGTAAGGAATTATTTCCTAGTCTGGAATAGGAATCCTTTAGTAAAGATAAGAAAACGCGTCTGCAAGTTGCGGATTGGTCGCTGATATTCCTTTCATTTCGAAAATTATGCGCTTATAATTAATAGGTCTGTTCTTTTTCGAAGAATTCTGAACTGCAGTAGTTTTGAACTGCAATAAGAGTAAAACAGAGTGAAATAAATCAGAGAAAATCAAGGAAGAGTGGAGTGGAGAGTGTTCTCTTCTCTGATTGGTTTCGCTATTTATTGTACACTTCTACAAATGTGCATGTGTGTATATACATATATGTACATATACACACAATACTAGTACGGTACGATATTAGTATATAGTATAGTACGGTACGATAGTAGTGTATGCAGCACCGTATGTTCTATCACGCTTCTATATCTCTTATTTACTTTAACGAATGATGGCTTCTGACTGAATCCGCTCTACTCTCCCTTGATTCTCTCTCTGCTTTAAATAAATGTAAAATTTCTTTTCATTTTAATCTATATATAACAATCTTATGAGAAAGAAAAAAAAAATGTTTTTTATACATTATTATCATGATATCCAACAAATTCTGTACAATACATAAAAATTAAAGCCAGGCTGTGATGCCTCATCGTTATTATTAATTAAATTAGCATTTATTATTATAAAATGTAAAATTAATGATAAAAATAAAACTGTGAAACTAATAATAGTGGATATTTTATGTTAATTAGAAATAAAATGCGATTAATAGATTAATAGTAGATAAATGCTCCAGTTATTCCGAAATTAAACTAAATATATATTATCAGTTAAATACGTCGCAAAATGCGAAGATTTTAATAGTTCGATTATGACGAACAATATCAAATCGTCAATTCTTTTTAAGTTTTTGTAAGAAATTATAAAATAGAATATTATGAAAGATAATGATAGGAAAGAGAAAGAGAAATACTTTATAAAAATATTTATAAAAGAGAAAGATATTTTATTATTTACGCGATATTTGTTAAAAATTGATCTTTTTTTACTTTCAGGACGTTACTCGTATATTAATTATTATTTTATTATAAAGCTCAGAATTCAAATTCCACATTCGGAGAAATTTTTAGAGAAGGGTATGATAAAGGAAAAGCATAGAGAACGACCTCTAAAAAACAATAGAGATATTTCAAAGTGAATATTATTAAGATAGAATGCTGTTCCTATTGGACCAATGGAAAAGGAATTTGAAATTCGGTTTTTACTTGTTCGTATAATTTCGCGTACGTGAGAATTTGAGGATTCGGCGATCTTTGATACTACTACCTGCAATATTCTGCATTCAAGTTAACATTCTATGTTTCAGGTGGTGTGTAAGGTGTTTTGTAAAGGGACTTTTTAAATCGCTTGTACGTGATATAAACAAAGAACAAATACAAAGGAGAAAACAAAATAAGAAATAACAGTGTAAATATAATAGCTCAAATCTTCTAAGGCAGATCTTTTCAAACCATCAATTTTCACCGTATTTATAATGTTATAAATATTATTCGCAATATTATTATACATATAATTATGTACATATAATTGTTATATGTTATTCCGATCGTTTATTAAAATATGTTTAATTGTTTTTTAATAATAATAAATCTGCATGGCGTACTTTAAATTTGTATTAATTAAAAATGTTCAGACATCATAATAAAAATATATAATATGTTTAAATCATTTTTAGTTATACATATATAACTCTAATAATATAAAACGATTTATAAAAATCATACTGAGAGAGAGAGAGAGAGAGAGAGAGAGAGAGAGAGAGAGAGAGAGAGAGAGTGGCATTGATTTTGTAATAAAAAAAAGTTCGAATTAACATAAATAGAATGTAAGAACTGTAAATGTTAATTATATAAAATATGTAAATACTCTTAAAGTATCTTATTAAATGAATCATTTGTTTATCACATTAAATAAATACTTAAATAAATTATTTATAAAATCCCGTACAAAATATGCTAATAAAATCTCGAATTATTAAGATTACGATAAAACTTGCCCCCTTAATACCATATAAATTCACTATGTGATCCTACAGTTTAAGAACGAGCATTTATTGAATTATTACACGATTGTTCGTCAAATAAATGTCGAACAACACGTGTCGTGTGATAGTCAGAAAGACAATCGATTTCGTCGGCGTTTTTCCTTTCCAGTTACGGAATTGAAGAAGGATGGTGAGAATTTGCAACGATGCGTTCCGCGAAAGATGCGCGAAGGATCGTGCAAATTCACCCCATTCATCCCCGTGCGACGTGCACAAGAACATTAAAAACAAGTGCGAAGTGGGGAAGATGCTCGGCTGCAGCAGCAACGGAAGCATGACGGGAGAGGAGGACTATCGGCTGAAGACAGAGATGGAGAGGGAGAAACTCGAAGAGGCTACATTTTCAGCAGCGGTAGAGGGGATGCCCGTACAGATGCCACGTGGGAGTGGCCGAGGAGTCGGAGGCTGCGCCAATGGGATGCGAGAGGCGTTATCTCGACACGTAGTTACTTTCCTCACTGTGGATGCTAACGCATACAGACGCACATCTACGTGTGCGTTACCATCCACGTTACCACGGAAATACTTCGCACGTACGGTAGCCAGCGCGCGGGAATGATGGAGAGAGAGAGAGAGAGAGAGAGAGAGAGAGAGAGAGAGAGAGAATGAGTCTTGCGATGGAGCGAGAGAGAGAAAGAAAGAAACAAAGAGAGACAGAGAGAGATCTCTTATCCGCACCATGCTACAGATACTCGCGTAAGTAAATAATAAATTATACGAGGATACATGGAAAGTGACAACTGATGCAATCATTAATATAACTCTATCAATGAGAAGGGTAGCTTGGCGATGATATCGGATAGACCCCATAAACGGCCCCGTACAAACGTGTGTTACATCAAACTGGACCAGTGACGCAAGAGAGGGAAGAAGAAGAGGAAGGGAGATGAGTGAAGGTGCGAGGAGGATGACGAAGGCGGGGGCGACGAATCGGTCGCTGTTGGTCCATGATAGGCGGAAGGGGGAGGAAGTCCAACATGCACGGTGCACCCAGTTGTACGGCCAAATACGCGCGACGCTGTGTATATGCACACGTGCGACCAGCCTGATTAATTGATCGCGTAAAGTGCCGCGGACTTCGACGTCCTTCGAGGCCCGAGATCGAAGGGCCGCCGTTGCCGCTGCCGTCGCCGCCCGCTCCTACCGGTGATCTCGGAGTATCGGGTAGCCGCGAAAAGGGTGCCCGTCTCTTCAGAGAACCAGCGTTATTAACTTCGACTCGTCAAACGGGAAGGATTCGGCGCCACGAACGGAGATCGGTCGCGAGCGCAGCAAAGCGGCTGACCCGCGATTACTCGGGATGACGTGTCCCGAGGAGGTCGTCGCGGGGAAAGTGTAATTGTTTGATTAACGTGAGGTGACATAGGACGAACATCATATATTCTTGAGGGAAGACAAATCCGTGGAAAAATTCGTGGAGAAACTTTGCTGTTGAGAGGAGCGATGAGCGATCGCGTTCGAGTTGCACGAGATGCCGAATTTATTTTAATGCGACCAAGAAGGATTAAACGCTTTGTCTAGTGATTATATCGAGTTGCATGGTGATATTCCGGACAAGAAACAGGAGACACGGTGTTTGTAGAGTTGGCAGAGTGACGTTTTTAATTTTAACGAGTCGGAGATTCGGTGCGTATACAATTAAAAAAAAAAGAAATCGAATGTTTTTGTTATTTTAATGCCGTGATATTATGCGAGATATTGAAAATTCAGCAATCTCAGAGAAGAAGCGAAAGGAAGCTGTGGAGGATTACATATTTTCAGAAATGACCGATCTCGATCGCGAATAGGTGCATCAAGAGGATGCGATTAGGTGCCATTAAAAAAAATGATTTCGCGGCTGTTGAACTTCGATGTGAGTTACAGTTTCGTTAATTAAATGGAGTGCTTTAAAATAGTGACTTCTTAGATTCCGAC